TGGAACGGACCGAAGACCCAGGTTAGTACAGATAGCTGTAGTACCGAGGCTGGTATTCGTAAGCAGGCATCCACTCGGGGAGACAGAGCTCCAGTTTCCATCCTTGCCCGCTATGTCATTCCCAGGCAATGCTCCAGAAAACAAGGATAAAACACATGCAATCCACAAGTAGAGAGGAATCCTTGAGGTAGAACAAGTCATCCTTGACTTGAACATTGTGATCTCTTGGATGTCACTGCTGCAGAAGAAATTCCCTTGGAGATTTGGAAAGTCTCACTAACCAAAATATCTCTTCCGCTCCCTTCACAACAGTGAAATATTCCTGTTTTTTTAACCTTATGTCCAGTATGTTTCTGTGAACGAGTGATTTGCACAAGATTACGTACCGTAGAAAGACTGTAATATCTTTGGGGCCCCTACTGCAGATGACGTACCGTTCAAGATTTTGAATATCTCACTTTCTTTAAATGAGAATATTCATATCCAAGATTGTCCAGTCTCCAGATATTGATGACTGAACCAAATCAAGCCCAAATGAGTATATGTAAATATATCAAAAAGTTAACGATCAACCCAAAGAGAAGCTGTTCAATAGTGTTAGGGCTATATCTGACCTTGTATTCTGTTTCACTTCTTTTCATTCACTTGAAATTAATTTTCCTACCTCTTGAAATACTAAATGATTGCGGTCTATGTTGGAGGAAGTGTTGATATAAACATCAATTTTTCTTTTGCTAACAAAAAAGGAATATGTAATATTGGCTGCCCCACGATGTTTCACTTTCGTAATTCAAAATGCCAATAAAACCTGCAGTTTAAGGGATAGTTGAGTGCTTTTTTCAATTATGGTTAATGATTTATGTGAAAATATTCCTATAAATTACTTCAAATATGTCAATTTAAAAATGATTTATCTCTAGTACAATGTCGTAAATCAACAGACGTTTCACAATAACAACCCATACTTAACTCTGTGCAATTCTGGTCACAATCAAACAATATGTCACTCAATCCTTTAAAGTGTTTTACCCTGCAGGTTACTTTTATGAAAAAATCCTGCTTCTCCTGAAGTTCTTTCCATTAATGACTCTACTATATGCAATGTATAAACTAACATTTTTGTTGGTATTTTATTTTATACAGGAAACCCTCCTGCCCAGGTTCATTTTTACCATCCTTCAAAGTAATGTTATTGTCAAATAGTATCGTTTTGCTGGGTGATTTCAACTGTAATATGAGAAATGATAATACATTGTCTAAAAATATTAAGGATATTTGTCGTATTTGCCAGCTTAATTAGTTAATCAATGAGCCTACAAGAGTTACACCTCATAGTAGTACACTCATTGATTTAATACTTAATACCTCAAATTCTATTGCTAACTTGAAGCCAAGTGTAATGTCCATTGGTTTTTTTAGTGACCACTGTTTAATATTTCTTGTCGTAAAAGGCAAAAACCCAATGCTTCATTCAAAAATATGTAAATTTTGATCTTTTCGAAACTTTAACGAAAGCAAATTTTAAGAGGACTTGAGAAATCAAAATTGGGCTGACTTTAATGAAGAAAATGTTGAAGTTGATAAAATGTGGTCTCATATCAAATCTGGGTTTACAATATTAAGTGATAAACATGCACCTTTTATTTCTGTCAGAAGAAAACGAAATGGGGTGCCTTGGATTACAGATGAATATATTACGTTGGCACGTGACCGTGATTACTATAAGAAAAGGTATAAAAAAGACGAAGTGTGATTGTTGCTGTGAAAAGTTCAAGTATTATAGAAACAAAGCAAATAACCTAAACAACAATCTTAGAAAAGAGTATTACCAAAACGAGTTCTCCGAATGCAGAAATGATTTGAGCAAAAATTTGAAGGTTTTGAAAAGACTCTTGCCTTCAAGGCAAAAGGAGGTAAATAACACAATCTTAATTGATGATGAAATAATAACTGACAAAGTAAAGGTGGCAAGTTTATTAAATGAAACTGAGTAATTTGAGTTCAAATCTACAAACTGTTTCATGTCCTAGCAATTTCAATTATTTACAAACTTGATTTCAAACCGATTGTTCTTTCGAATTTCAAGAAATCAAATCAGAATTTGTTAGAAATGAACTACGTAATATTGATTGTAAAAAAGCTATAGGAATGGACGATCTACATCCCAAGTTACTCAAATTATCTGCAGATATCATTGCAAAAATTTAATCAATCATTAAAAATTTCATGATTTCCATTTAATTTCAAGGTTGCAAAAAGCACTCCGATACACAAGGGAGGTAGGTTTAGTGTTGATAATTTCAGACCCATTTCAATACTACCCTTTGTCAAAAATTCTAGAGAAAGCCATACATAAACAAATGTATTCTTACCTTAACCAAAATAATTTATTATCAGAACGTCAGTCTTGATTTAGACCACCTCATTCCACAATTACATGTCTTACCAAAATTACTGATTACCTTCTTGATAATATGAATTCGGATCAGATTACTGGAACTATATTTTACGATCTTAGGAAATCGTTTGACGTTATTCCACATAAAATAATACTTGATAAACTAATTTTTCTATGGCATAAGTAACAAGCTGTATGGATGGTTTAAATCTTACTTAATTGGTAGACAACATTGTGTTGATATAAACAATCATTGTAGTGAGTATTTAACTGTTAAATCTGGGGTGCCACAAGGGTCAATTCTTGGCCCCTTGATTTTTTGTCTGTATATTAATAATATCAATAATTTAAAGTTTCATAATAATTCCAAGATATCACTCTATGCTGACGATACTGTCATTTTTAATAATTCTAATAATTTTTCTGAAGTTCAAGAAAATTTACAGAATGACTTTGATTGAATATGTAAGTGGTTTGATAACTAAGATGTATATACACCCTCAGAAAACTATGGTGCTGTCCTTTGGATCAAGGTGGAGAACAATTGTCTCTCAATTAAATTAAATGGTAATAACTTACAGTATGTCGAAACAATAAAATAAGTAGGAGTTTTACTTGAATCACAAGTGACGTGGTCTGAACATATGAAATATATAAGTACTAAAATATCTCGTTCTTTTGGATGTATTCGTTGTATAAAACGCCTAATACCCCCACAAAACTCTTGTAAACCTTTATTTTGCATTGATTTTAAATAAGGATTACAACACACCACAATGTACGCTTCTTACAACTTTAAATTGGCAATGGGTCGAACAAAGATTAATATATCACTACTGTTTGTTAGTTTTTAAAAATTATAAATGTCATATGGCCCCCAACATATTTAAAATAACTTATCGATTATCCCACTTTCAACTACTGTATCCGCTATTCAATGAATTCTCTTCTTGACATCCCATACATGAATTCTGAATTCAAAAAGGTAATTCTCGTATAAAGCAAGCACCCTGTTTAACAAACTTTCTTTCTCAATTCAATCAACCAAATCAATTGAAACATTTAAGCGCAGATGCCGATTGGCTAAGCATTTATTATAGTATTCAAGTATGTAATTTACCAACTCTTGGGGAGAGGAGACTAGCACTTTGTAGAAAATTCGCAAAACCCCTTTCAAATCACTTTATTTGTCAGACCTGGTTACCTCACAAAAACACACTATCATATCTCTTCGCCGTATTACCATTTATCAGCAATTTCAATTAAAAACAAAAAGGTTTAAAAATAGCCCACTGTCATTTTTAGTTGATATACTCAACAAAAGTTGAAAAACTATTATTTTTTACTTTTTATCGTTATCGCAGGTAAACTGAGTGCTTGTCTCCTCCCCCCGAAGTCGGCTGTTTTAGATGTATATACCGATTTTAATCCTTTTACCATGTTTATATTGACTTTTATGACATAATAGGAAATTTGTAAGCAATAACAGCTCATGTTTTTGTTGTATTTCTAATAACTTATGCAATGTGTTTATGGTTTTTAGTTACAGAATCAAAGTCCTATTTTGTATATTGCTAGTTTTTTTTTACATGTATATCTTTAAAAGTGTTATCTATTTTGCCTACATGTAAACATGAATATTCCAGCCACTGTCTTTCATGTAAAATTGTATTTGTATAAACCATGTTTGTGCTGTAATAAAACCATTTTTGAATTTATGTGAATTGAATTGTTAAAGACTGAAAATGCCTTCAAAGTGTATGGTTATTGCTCTTATTTTTATTTATGACATTTCTAGTGCCTTTTTAGAACCTAAAATAGCTTTGAAGGTTTTTTTAGACCGTTTTTTAAGGCTGGTTCAAAATTGCTGAATATTTGTGGGGCACCACAAAATTAATATCAGACATGGTTATATTTATGGATATTTCAGCCGTCTCTGAACCGATTTTGATCAAACGAAGATGATTTGTATTATTATTATACTCAAGTCAGGAATCATATCATATTTGGGAATTCCCCTACATAACAAGAATTGGATTGTACAGCCGTTTTTAGCTGATGCAGAATGACAGAACGAGGTGCAATTTAAGCATTGTCGTTGATACTTTTGTCTCAAGGAGTTGAATCATATTTTTTAAATTGATTGTAATGCATATATTGTAGTTTACAAAATTCAGCTTCATTATATTTCTCTAAAGCACCATTGAATAAACTGAAATCAGATTTATTAACCTTTGGTTGACCTACAACGATAAGGCACTACTCATGTACATGTACCTCACCTGGGTTTAGAGTGGCAATGTAGATTAAATGCCTTGCCAAAGGACAATAGGGATGAGGCAGGGATTAGGAGTTATCATCATCATCATTATCATTATTATTATCATTATCATCATCATTTTCATCATCATCATTTTCTTCATCATCATCAGCATCAGCATCATTATCATTATCATTGTCATTATTATTATCATTATTATAATTATCATCATCAATATCTTCATTATCATTAGCATCATTATCATTATCTATCATTATTATCATCATCATCTTTATCATTATCATTATTACTATTATCATTAATGTTTTTCTCATTGGGCAGTGGGTGGAGACTGGCTTCTCAACTCAATGGTGCTTTGAGAACTTCATCCAGCATCGATCGATGAGACGGGCACGGGATGTTCGTGATCAGCTCCAGGGACTCATGGAGAGAGTTGAGATGGAGATTGTGAGCTGTGGTATGGATAGTGTCGTTATTAGAAAGGTAGGGTAATAAGACATTCTTATATCAATACTTGTAGTGTGTTCCCCCCTCTCAGATTGAAATGAAATGTACAAGTCTGATTTATAGTGGCAATGATAAGATGGTGATGATGATAGTGATAATAACGTGTATGATGAAGATGATTTAAATTTCAATTCAATTTCATTTCCACAGATTCATAAAAGACAATATAAATTACAATCAAATATAAAATCATTAAAACAAAAGATGAATCTGCAGAGGGGGTGATAAAAAACCACAGAGGTTTATCGGGGATTATCCCCTGCTTAAAATTACAATATTAAAATACAATAATTTTTTTTTTAAAGAAACAATAAACACATACAAAGCATATATAAATATTACAAGCAAATCTATGTGTGGGGTGAGTAGTGGGGTGGAATAAACTCCCTGCAATTCTATGTTTCGATGATGATGAGGTGGTGAATGATGTTAATAGTGCTAGTGGTAATGATACTAATCATAATGATGATCATGATATTAATGACGATGTTAATGATGATGATGGTATTGATGATGACATTGATGAAGATAGTGATTATTATGTCGACAATGATGGTGATGATGATGATAATTTAAATCATAATGATGAGGAAACATTCCTATTGAATGCAATAGTAATAACTATCTTTCCTATCTTTGAATGAATATTGCAGGCTGTAACCGCTGGTTTCTTCTACCATACTGCACGCTTCAGTAAGGGAGGTAACTACAAGACAGTCAAGCACCAACAGACAGGCATGGTTCATCCCAATAGCGGTCTGTTTGAAGAACAACCAAGATGGCTCATCTACCATGAACTTGTCTTTACAACCAAGGAGTTCATGAGACAGGTATAACAATTTAAAATTATTTGTTCCCTTTTATTTTTATTCCAGCTGTGCCTACTGAAGGTTTCTTGGCAAAAAAAAAAGGAATGTGGAATTCTTACAACCCTTGGGCCTTTTCCAAGACTATAGGAAATTCAGTATGGGTGCCAAGAACATATTAAGTAACATGTATGTGAATAAAATGAGTAAGTCTGAAATATGCATTAAGTATAAAAGCATGATAGACATTTGCTATAGACAAAGTATTTACTTTAACACAATTAAGACGGTTGCACTAGAAGTCTCAACCATTTGCAGAGGCACTTGATCTTGTATATGAAAGTTGTTCAAGCGTGGGTATATAGAGGGCATCACACGGACGTATGCACGGGAGTGTAATAAAAATAATAATATTCCACTTTTATATAGCGCTTAATACAAATGTCTCTAAGCGCTTTATAGATATACTATTACCCCGGTCCTTGGATTCACTGCTTGCCTGCCCGCACACAATGTGTGCACAATCTCCACTCCCAGGGGAGCATTCCAGCCACGCTTTACTTGATGCTGAGTGTTATATAGTGATCGGGAGTGATCGCCTCGTTGCCTATCGGGTACTTCACGAATGACTATATAGCCACGCTTGAGCAACTTTAAACATTTATTTTTCTTTAGTCAGGATCTGATATACTTTTTTCTAATCCTCCCCTCATATTCCACGATATAGGTGATAGAGATAGAGAATAGTTGGTTGCTAGAGGCTGCTCCACACTACTACAAGGCCAAGGAACTAGAGGATGCATCAAGCAAGAAGATGCCGAAGGGTGTCGGCAAGTCAGCCGGTAGCTGATTACGGAGTTACAGAAGACCGGTATCATAGGAGGACCAGTTATGGGGATGAGTATTGCTGGCCATCATCTGATATCGTTGAGATGGGACTCATTTGGAACAAACTATAAGGACAAACTTATTCCAGATTATGTGCCTTTCTCTTGTCTCTCTTTGAGTCAAACATCGTCTTAGGATCAATTGTGAGTAATGAGTCCTGGCCCTCAACTTTTGAGACTAGACCTTCCTTTAGAACTAATAGCAAGACATCTGCTATTCCAAAATCTAGAGAGAATCCGCCTTTGTCTTGTCATCTTGAGGATCATAACGAGTGATTTGCGCTGCCCTCAATTGGTAGGAATGCACCAGATTTTACCCCAGAACAGGTTTCCCCGAAAACAGGTTTCCCCTTCTGGTAAGAATACTTTTGTGAAGGATTATCTAAGCAGTTTCACATTGTATTGAAGGTGATAGCTCACTATAAAGCTCATTTATAGTGCATTTCTGCATCTACTGCTGGCCGTCACTTCTTGAGGATGTGCTATATAGTCCTCTTTTAGAACAAATAGCAGAATTATTCCAGTTCTCACCAGATCATTAGTTTCTTTTAAAGAATGGTAAAGAATATTCCAGGAATGGTTGCCTTGGTAACCTGAAGCTGATCTACGATGTGTATCTCCATTTGGCAGGGATGTACTGAAACCCATTCCACCAGGGAATTATTCCCAGTTCTAGAATGACTAGTGTTTATGTGGTGGATAATAGTCGGTATAGAAGATACATGTGTCAAAGAAGATGCTTGGGACAGTCTCCAAGGTAACCAGAAGCTGTCTAAAGATGCATGCCACCTTCTGGTAAGGTTCCAAGAAAAACTCAAACTCCAACAAACATCAGGACATCATTACTCCCAGTTTTTGAAGAATTACCTTGTTTGTGAGCTTTAAAAATTGGCACAGGGGATAGATTTGACAGAAAATGTGCATGATACAGTTGGCTAAGTTACTAGAAGCTCATCTCAAAGTACGTGCCCCTTGAGTCCAATACAGTCAACAAGACCCTGGCGAATAGTGATTGAATTTATACCAGATTCTGTGACAACTCCCAACCTTTTCAGTTATATTCATTTGATACCTATGCATTCAATATTATTGAAAAAGCCAGTCGTTCTTGTGAGGGTTAATTACTTCAGACTTAAGTGGATCAGGCATTGCCGTTTATATGTAAATTCATGTACTGTTATATAAATGAAATAAAACTATTTAAAACTTTATTCTGTTCACTTTGTCATATTTGAATATATTTTTTTTTCTTCTTCAAAATACATGTACACTGCAAATTATGATGAGTTGGATGGCACAATACATGCAGTGGATCCAGGATTTCTTGGGGGGCCCAAATCTGAAATTATGCGAGCTAAATATTGGTACGTAATGGTGACCATGCAGCAGTGACGTAATGAGCAATAACGTTTGGGGAGGGGGGCAGACAAAAAAATCAGCATCATCCCACTCTTATATGCAGGCCCCGCTGAACTTTTTTCAAAGTGGTAGGGGGAGCCTAAAGTATTTAGAATCAAGTAGAGCGTACCCTAAATTGCATAGGGTCTAGGGGCAGAGCCCCCAGAAGCTCAGGGGGTATGGGCATTTAATTACGGCCAGATGAGCATATTTTGATAACTTAATCATGACACTGGCAGGTCACTAATTGGCATGGCGTCAAGGGGGCAGAGATTTGAGGCATTTTATAACGCTCAGATAAGCATTCAGGGGCCCGCCTTAGGCCCCCTGTTGGGGTCGAGGCGGAGAAGCCCAGGGAAGCTCAGGGGTTTTAGGCATTTAATTACGGTCAGATGAGCATATTTTGATAACTTATTAATTTTGGGAGACTGGCAGGACAGTCATTGGCGTAGGGTCCGGAGAGCGGAGCCCCCAGAAGCTCAGGTGTTTTAGGCATAAAATTACCGTCAGATGAGCATCTAGTGACCAGCCTTAGGGGCCCTACATGTAGGTGAGGTCCAGGGGGCAGAGCCCCTGATGTTCAGGGGATTTAAGCATTTAATTAAGGTCTGATGAGCATATTTTGATACCTTATTTATGACACTGGTAGGTCACTAACTGGCGTGGGGTCCAGGGGCTTGAGCCCCCGGAAGCTCAGGGGTTTTAGGCATAAAATTACCGTCAGATGAACATTTTTTTAATACCTTATTTGTGACACTGGCAAGACACTAATTGGCGTGGGGTTCAGGGAGTGGAGCCCCCCGAAGCTCAGGGGTCTTAGGCAATAAATCACCGTCAGATGAGCATCCAGTGGCCCGCCTTAGGGCCCTAGGTTGGAATCAAGGGCGGAAGCTCAAGGTTTTTTCTTACTTTCCCTCTTTCTTTCTATTTCTCAATAAAACATTGGATGTGGGGACATGGCACATTGATTGTGTTTTTATTGCATTTCATATATGTGATGACTTTGTACATTGAATGTGGGAACATGGCATATTGAATGTGTTAATCGTATTGCATTTGGTAGCTGATGACGTAATACATTGGATGGATGGATGTGGGGATGTGACATCTTGAATGTGTATTGTATTTGATAGCTGATGACTTGGTACATGTGATGTGGGGACATTGCATAGTGACTGTATTTATATCGCATTTGGTAGCTGATGACTCGGTAGATTTGATGTGGGGACATCGCACATTGATTTTTTTTTATTGCATTTGATAGCTGATGACTTGGTTCATTGGATGTGGGGACATGGCATATTGAATGTGTTTGTATTTGATATAGCTAATGACTTGGTGCATTGGATGTGGGGACATGGCATATTAAATGTGTTTGTATTACATTTAATAGCTGATGACTTAATACATTGGATTGGGGGACATGGCACATTGATTGTGTTTGTATTGTAATTCATATGTGATGACTTGGTACATTGAATGTGGGGACATTGCATAGTGACTGTGTTTCTATTGCATCGGATAGCTGATGACTCGGTAGATTGGATGGGGGGGATGTGGCACATTGTGTTTGTATTGCATTTGATAGCTGATGTCTTGGTACTTGGATGTGGGGATATGGCAAATTGAATGTGTTTGTATTTAGGTTGATATCTGATGACTCTGTAGATTAGATGTGGAGACACCAGTGGCGGATCCAAGATTTGCCAATAGGGGGGCGGGGGGGGGGGGGCCTAAAATTTGAAAAACGTGCCGACCAAAATTCCGAATAGAATGTGGGATCATGTCTGTTGGTATGTGTCTATCCCTATCTCCCCACATCTAATGTGATTGATGCGTCAATTTTTTTTAAATCTATTTCATTCTCCCATTAATTTTATTTTTT